GCTTCTCAAGAATGGAGCTAACGCTAATATTGGAGATGATTCGAATACCACAGCTCTTCATTTAGCTGCATTCAGTGGTAATGTTGAATGCTTGTTTTTATTTAAGAAACGATTGATTTGATCTCTTTCATTGATCCGTATTATTTTAGGTCACAGAGGTGTCGCTGATGTGCTTCTCAAGAATGGAGCTAACGTTGATATTGTAGATGATTTGAATACCACAGCTCTTCATTTAGCTGCATTAAATGGTAATGTTGAATGCTTGTTCTTATTAAAGAAACGATTGATTTGATCTCTTTCATTGATCCGTATTATTTTAGGTCACAGAGATGTCGCTGATGTGCTACTCAAGAATGGAGCTAACGCTAATATTGGAAATGATTCGAATACCACAGCTCTTCATTTAGCTGCATTCAGTGGTAATGTTGAATGCTTGTTCTTATTAAAGAAACGATTGATTTGATCTCTTTCATTGATCCGTATTATTTTAGGTCACAGAGATGTCGCTGATGTGCTTCTCAAGAATGGAGCTAACGTTGATATTGTAGATGATTTGAATACCACAGCTCTTCATTTAGCTGCATTAAATGGTAATGTTGAATGCTTGTTCTTAGTAAAGAAACGATTGATTTGATCTCTTTCATCCGATTTTTTTTCCAGGTCACAAAAATGTCGCCGATGTTCTCCTCAACAAAGGCGCCAATATGGATGTCATGACTATTATTAATCATACACCTCTTCATTCGGCAGCTAGGAATGGTAATGTTGAATAAGTATTTTTACAAAATAAAGAATCGGTTTGATCTTTTTCATCGATCTAAATTATTTCTAAGGTCACAAGGATGTTGCTGAACTTCTCATCAAAAAAGGAGCCAATATGGATGTCATGACTATTATGACTAATGATACACCTCTTCATTTGGCAGCTAGGAATGGTAATGTTGAATAAGTATTTTCACAAAATAAAGAATCGGTTTGATCTTTTTCATCAATCTAAATTATTTCTAAGGTCACAAGGATGTTGCTGAACTTCTCATCAAGAAAGGAGCCAAAGTTGATGTTAGAAATCTTGAGAATCTAACACCTCGTCAGTTAGCTGTTAACCATGGTACTGCTGACTAAATTAAATACCGCTTTGATCTTTTTCATTGATCTGTATTATTTTTCAGGTCACCATAATGTCGCCAAATTTTTTGGTAAAGGAAACCGAATTAATATTGAAGAGCAATTGGAATAGATTCAATATGCTGCCAACAATGATAATGTTGAATATTTTACTTTTCTGTACACTTTGTTAAATGAATTGAAATGGAAAGATTTTTTCAATCTGCGATTAAATTTTAAATGAAACACCTTAAAGTGACTTTGCTTTTTTGAATTTCAAACATAAATCAATATAAATATTTATTTATAAACATATTTATATATATATATATTGGGTGTATGCATTAATTTTAAAGAATTTTTGAGTTCATAGATACATTTATTGTAATTGTAAATGTAAATGTAAATGTTTATTAACGTATGATAAATTGGTTCACAATGGTTGTATTTGACATGGTAGGATTCAATGAGATTCAGTCCAATGGACTTTGCAGCATAGTGACAAGTTATGTTTCTTTCAAATGATTTGTTTGTTTGTTTTGTTTGGTTGATTTTTGTGTTGTGGAAAATCGCTAAAGTTAAAACCACAATTTGATGGTGTTTTTGATTTTAAAGTTTTTTTGGGGTTTTTTGTTTTTGGTTTTGAATTAAATAAATAAATATAATGGAATGAAATAGAATAATAGTGAATAGTAAATTTGGCCTAGCGTATTGGATACAATGGGTTCGCGATGATTCGGTTCAATTATATACATATTTACATAAG